TACAACTATAGAAAAACCGTGGTTTCCCGCCCCTGGTATCTTGGCCTCGGTGAATCTTCGTCCGAAAACAAAGTAACGGTTGGTAGATTTTGCAAATTGGATTAGAGGACCGGGAAAGAGAAAAACAGCAATCACGAATGCGACTTAAGTCGCTGGTAAGTCGACTCGGGGGCCCTCAAAGTCTACCTGCCGGTTTGCAAATTGCCGAGGAGAGAGGGAAAAGGCAGCGCAGAGGCGACGAAACGACGCCGACGGTGACTCTAGAGACCAAACAGAGGGAATCATCCTGTCGGCAACCTGCCGAGCTCTTGACCCAGTCCCGAGATCGGATGAACCGGGCCGCCCTGTCAAAACTTGTCACCGGGATTTGGGATTAGAGAGTGAGTCCTCGAGGAGAAAAACTGCCGCGTGAAAATTGGTTAAGAAGAGAGCAAATAAAAGTCGTAAGTGGCTTTCATCGGAACGATTAAAGAACGCAAACGCGTGCGGAAAAGATCGTCCGAGACCTCGCGGAACAGTTTCATAACGGATTCCATGCGATTATCGTAATAAATCAAGCCAGTGCAGCGGTTTCGACTCGTCAGGCCACGGCTCCATTTAAATCAACCGTCGTCGCGAAACTCTCGAGCGAAAAGGCGCCGACTATCGCGCGACAAATCAGCTTACTCCGGTTGCTCAAAAATGTCCACGGTCGCGCCAGCGAAGAACCGGCGTTCTTATTACGTCAAACTTATCCACCGGCATTGAAAGGATGCACGCGTTCGCGGTGGATTGAAGACGAGAATGGGCACGAGAGGGGGCACAGGAGGGCTGACTGTTAGCACGATACCGGAGCACGGGGTGCGAGGGGGTTGTTCGGCGTACCACCCTCGTATCTCTCACGCTTCGCGGGTATTTCTATGGTAGGGAGACGCCCGTCTAATTTCCTGTCCTGAATTTCGAACGAGCAGGAATTTGCACCCTTGAGTTCACATCAACGCGACGATGGAAGAGCGAAGAGGCGAGAGAAAACTAGGGAGGAGCGAGGAAGGGGCGGTTTGCTACAGTGGCGCGATTGCTCTTCCTTTCTCTGTTACGAATATCAATTCTTTAATCGTTGAGATTATTTTACCTGTTTGTGTTTGTTAATTTGCTATGGTGTGTGGGTACGCCACTGGCACGACGGAAATTGGCTCGTTTGTACAGCGGCCATGGAACGGGGTTGAATGCGCAAAATCGCGCGCGAGGTTCTCTTCTGGAGCGTCATTTTTCGATACCACCCATTTTTCCGGTACGTTCTCTTTTTCGGTTCAGCTTTTTCCGTTCGTTCGTCCCGTTTTCCTCGTTTTGCGATCCTTTCCAGGCGGATCCGGGCCCGATGAAACCGTGCTTTTCAATTCGGACGCGAGCGTGCGCGGACGTTTAGTGATCGACTGTCTTTATCGAGCTCGATTTTGATTCACGCGGACAGCGGGAACGCCGGGACGCGCGTTTTATCTCGAATCCAACCCCGCTGAAAGAGACTCGAACCGGAGCCACCTTTCCCCTGGATGCCGGTTATTTATTTACCCCGTCGAGCGTCGAGCGCGGAAGAGAAACGACGACGACGGAGCCGATTAATTTCCTGCGGAACCGGGCGAAAACAACGCCGAAGACAACGAACGGACGAACGGAATTCGTCGCGCGATGCCGAAACAGGGATTTTAGAAGAGACGCGGAGAATATCCGGTAAAAGTCGTTCATTGTGCCGCTCTCGGCTAGCTCGAGCGTGACGGAGCGCGAGATCCTCTCCTTGAACCAGTCCGGACAAAGCCATTATACGCGGGATCCTATTATGCGATTGTTATGAATTTCCTATTAATAATAAATAAACAAACATAATGGGAGGCCGTCGCGGTGCGTTAGTCAGCGGAACGCATCTGGTTCCATCAGGGACGGGGGTTGCTCGACACCCTGCGTCCTCTCGACGGATTTAAGCGCCGAGTGCGGCTTCTCTCGCGCGCGATTGGACGCGTACAAGACGCGCCGCCACGGTATTGGCCTATGCTCGAACAATGATCGGTTACAAATCATCCCCTTTTATACCACGAGTGGCCAAGTACGCGTGACGATTCATTCTTCCCTCTCACGCTCTCTTTCTCTCTTGCGGATGCTCCATAGAGAGTAAATTCGATTCGCTATGTCGAACTCTGATCGTTTTACGATCGACCATGGCGATATGCGAACAGAAGAGACCCGGCGAAAGATTCGGGCAAATTGAAATTTATCATCCCTCCTTTTAGGCGTCCTTGTTCTCCGCGCGTCGCTCGAAATTTCGTTCTTATTTCAATTTCTGAATCTTTCACCAAAGAAAAGTTGATGTTCCTTTGAGCGCAACCGCCTAATAATTCGACCAGCAACTTTTCGAACGTGGCGAGTCGCACAACGCGCAGATAAGGGAGCAATCTTGCGGGAGGACAAACAGCCCGGTTAGGGAAACAAATTTCAACCTTCCGGAGGGAGAGGAAAAGGTAGAAACGTTAAAGTCGCAAAGTCAAGTTTACGCGGAGCAGGTAGAGCGGCGGTTTTTGGACAGCTCGGCCGGCAACCCGTCGCGCATCTCGTCCTAATCCTGTTTGCGGGATGAGCAAACCGTTGCAGCCTGTGTTTGATTACTTTAGAATTTCCCAAGGTTCGCGAGAGCTGGTACGCTTCCTTCGGGGTTTCGTGTCGGATAACTCTCTCGTATGTACGCCCACCGTAAATCCTCTTTGCACTTCTGGCTTCGTCAATGGAGCCCAAAACTATCGAAATCCGTTGACGCGCCCTACGGCGTCGCGTTTGTCCCTGGTGAAATCTCTCGCGATACAGACTCCGAAAATCGCAGAGTATCGTACACGCGCGAACACGTCGATTTTCCCGATCGCGCAATCTGTCTCGGTTCCCGATAGCGTGCTAGCAAGCGAAAACGAAAAGAGGTGGTGCAGGTTGGTCACCTGCGGAAAGTCCGGCTTTGGCCGCTTGCTGCTGGTACCTTCCTCGACAAAAGGTCCGGTATTTAAGATTCTATTGTACCTTTTAAACGGTCGGCATTATTTCGTTAAACTGAAGGCGTGGTGCGAATTTCGGACTGCGCGACCCCCTAGAGACATCTGGATAAAGGAGCTAAAGCTGCAGGACGCTCGATGGACGTCCCCACGGCACTTGGTACCGACGCTCTGTGCGCGTCGAGGACGATTCATCGTCGACAGCTACCAAATCCATCGACTCGGCTCTCCGAATCTCTGCCAATAGCAAGAGTAGACCGCGGAGTCGATTCCAAAACGGCTACTTTGCGTCGAAACGAGATGAGTGTCTCATCGATGGTGTAGCTAGGGGAGTCGTTCTACCATGAAACGCCAAACTAAACGGCGCTTCGAGGCCCAAATACAAGACCCGGCTCCTCTCGAGATTGCCACTCCGCGCCCTACACACGTTTACCGAGTCCTGGTGCACGCACACGGAAACACGCATGCGCGCACCCCGACGTACACGAACAAGCGGAAACGCGTGTATTTATTCCAGTCCACGTAGGAAAGCGCAAAAAGGGCATAATGGACCCCGTAGCCAGATAGGTGTATATAATGAGGTTAGCAGAGGGGTGGAGTAAGGGAGGCTAGCGAAGCGGGGTGGATGTCGTTGTGATACGATAGAGAGAGAAACATAGAGAGTTCGAAAGAGAGAGAGGGAGGCGACGGGAGACATGGTTGGGAGGGAAGAGGGGATCGTTCCCCTTCGGCCGGGACGCATCTGCCCCATTATGCTGCCCCGGGGCACTCCCGAGACCATTAATCCTCGCTAAACGACAGCCATTTTGTACCTAAACTGGATTGCCGACTCACTAACTGGTTTTGAGGACGCTTAATAGACTACTCGGCGCTCCTATTATGGCGATCGCGCATCCGCGCTATATTTCGGTGTCGTTTATTCCCTGCTAATGTGCAAACGGCTTTGAGAATGTCCCGAGAGGAGGTAGCTCCTCATCGAAGAGAACGAGACGAAAAACGATGCGTTCCTCCGGTCGTTCGATGCGACGACGACCCTTGGATCATTTCGGAGATCGTGCGTTTCGGGTACACGAGGCGGTGTAACGATGACGACGACTTCTAACCAAGGACACCCCATGGGTTTCTTGTCGTGCAGTTGTAACAAGATTTTGGTTAATCGGCTTGACTCCCGAGGCTGCGACCGGAAAATCTTCTCCTCGCTCTACCAGGTATTCCCTAGGGACGCTGGTGGGGCTGCTGTCACTCCGGGACTATCGCCACCAACCTGCCAATCGGATTAGTTTAATCCTAAAATATTGTTCGTCTGGTGTACAACAACATCGCGAAAATCCGTCGACCCGATAGACTGAAGCTCTTTGGTCCCCTGTTTAGTTTCTTTTGCTTCCATCGAGTAGGTATCCAATTTTCATCTATCGCCTACGATTCAAACCTTTTTCCAGGCGAAAGCTGCTCGCGACAGCACCCACAAGGCGATATCTCGACAACATCGTTATCCCGTCAAACCTCCAGACACTCGGTCCATGGACGTAGAGAGGAGCAGCGGTCTTGTACGCGCAGCCACGCTCGCGAGCGCGCACACAACCACAGACGCAACGGAGGATTGCCAATCAATTCGCGCATCGCGCCCGGGAATTAGACAATTAGGAGTCGTCACGTTCCCCGAGCAGTTGCCTCGTCGCGTCGTCCCGTTCCCCGCTTCGTCGTTCCGCTTCACCCCCTTCAACCGACCTTCCCCCACCTTGATAAGTGGCGTTCCATCCCCGCGCGCGCGCACCGAATTCGAAGCGCCACCGCTTCAAGTCGGCAGTGCCATCTGGCAGAAGCCCGACGCGCGAAACCGAGTTAGGTTTCGAGATGGAAGGAGAGAGGATTCAAACGCGCGGAATGGTTCCCATTGGCGGTGTCAGGCTGCTAGGTACACGCCTCCTCCCGAGGGGTCTGGGTTAGGTCTGTGGTGTGACTGGAGTGGTCCGCATTGGCCGAGGACACGACACGGTACCGGTTCCACGGGTTCCGCGGGGGCGGCGCGCGAGCATCGGCGGCGAGCACCGCGACGCCGGCCGCCACCGAGAAGAGAGAGAACGCCTCGGCAGGCCTCTCCGCAGTCGAGCTGGTAATCAGTGTCGTTTCCGCGGCAGCAGTGGCCACCACGCGGCAGATTACGCAGATTACGACGCTACACCCCCCGCGTATCCGACGCCGACGGTTGTGATGCGGTTGTGACAGTGTTGGGGAACGGTACGCGAGCTTCGACTATTCTATTCGGACAGATAATCGCCGGAACTTCGGCTTCTATTTCCTCGTAAACGAACAGGCTCGGAGATGATGAGCCGCAAACTTTCCGAGGGACCAACACTTTGACGCGGGACAACCCTCCATTTCGATCGAGACGAACGTTGGACTCGCTTCGTCTCTGTCCCGATATTCGTTGCTCGGAGTATCGCGGTCGATACGATTCGTCGTCGTTGACACGGAATAAATTCCAAAAATGGAGCCGACGGTGTGACGACGTCGTAGGCTTCGACCCTGGCTCGAGACAACTGACAAACGAACGAAGACCTGGCGCAAAGGTGGATGTCCGAAGAGAAAAGACATTCGATCCCCTGGTAACGAAGCAGGAAGATCTTGGCGTGCATAGAGGGTTGCGATTATCGAGATCGAAATAATGAGTGCCTGACATAAGAGACCACAAGGAGTAGGGACAGTCATGCTGATCTCGTAAAGAAACTGATTTGTCTTTAATGGGGGGATCCGCTCGTGCCGGCTCGGTCGGTCCGCGGCGATGCAGCGGATTCCGAGAATAACGGGCTCTGGAATCAGCCGGGATGGCAGTCCGTGAACATTCGCGCTGATACTGCGGCGCAACCGATTACAACACGATAGACAGCGATCCAAGATCCGCTGTTGCGATGACAGTTCTCTGCCGCTGGTTGTCCCGTTGATGTTTAATAGTTTGCGTCGATACGAACCAAGCAGCGGACAACCGATACAAATAGAGGACGATGACCGCATCGCGGTCGATCGATGTCGTTGTAAACGAGGCCCTCAAACAATCGTACCGGAACTAAACAATCGTGTCGAGCGAGCGTAAAGTGTAAATAACGATGCGTGCAAAGTGAACACCAGGTGAAATCTTGCTTTGTACATAAAGGCTGAGACAATTGTACTCCAAATCATCCCTTAAACTCGAACCGTCTAACGAACCGTCTAGCAAACTCGGTCGAATCCAAGGTCCGAGGCTCCGCGAAACGCTGACTCTCTCGTCGTGCGTTCGTCGGTCAAACGTCGAAGGAAAAAAGTGAAACGGTATGAGCGGCAGCGAGGGCGTGGTGACGAGCCAGGGTACCGGGAGCGATCGGCTGTGCGAAGACGTCGATATGGCAACTCCGACGTCAGCCGCTTCGAACCTGAAACCGCGAAGCGGTAAAATCAGCTTCAGCGTCGACTCCCTGCTGAGCGACATGAAGAAGACAGCCGTTACCGGCGGAGCGTTCGCTAGACGAGAGAGCGAAGACCGAATGGAGTCCGAAAAGAATCTGGATATGGAGGTTAGGTACCGCGAACTAATGATGGAGCAACAGAGACTTCAGAGCAGAGAGCTGCTAGCGAGACTCAGTCCCCACGGGCTCGCGTTTACCAATCATCATCATCACCCTCCGAGTCGGTTGGAACAGGATCACCCATCGGCGGGGCGGCAAGAGATTCTCACGGTGAAGGATTTTTCTAGAACGACTAGCCACGACAAATCTTCGTCTCCCATTAGGATAGACCAGGAAGTTCAGAGGGATCGGGACGATCGACGATTGTCCGGCGGTTCCCCAGGCAACAGGATCGCCGAGTCTATGATCCAGAGGGAACGCGGTCAAGAGGAGGACGAGAGGATCGACAGGATCGGGAATCCTCGATCCGTGTCGCCGGTCAGTAGACGAGAGATCATGGACGATAGAAGCGACTCCGAGGCGAATCGATCCCTCGAGGGCGATAGAGCCGATCATTTGGACCTCGAGGATCAAGAGATCAGAAGCGTGGGTCAGTCCGAGGATCTGAATGTGATGGACTCGGACTGCGAGCTCGAAAGGGACCTCGACAGTAGCCAGGAGAAGGAGGAGAAGTCGAGTCCTGTAGTGCCTCAGCCGATTCATCCTGGGGTTCAAAGGCCCTCTCAGGGACCCCCTTACCTCACTGGGGCACCCGGTGCTCCTGGCTGGAATCCCGCGGGATTTCCGCATTCACTCGCGGGGTTCGCGTGGCTACCCCCACCCCCGCACCCACACAACCCTCATGGACATCTTTATACACCGCACGGAGGACCCACCAGTCCAAACGGTAAGCACGACGTCGATCCTTCCGATCTTTATCCGCTGTGATCTTCATCCTTGCGACTATTACGATCGTACTCGTTTCTCCAAACTACTAGACCTGAAATTTGACTAGAAAAAGGGAGATCAAATACAGAAGTCTCTCTATCCGAGAGAGACGGAGAGAAACTTGAAATTGATCGTAAGATCGTTTGGTACCGGCGGAAGATGCGAGTGGTTATTATAAACCAGGCGATGAAAACGTTATCGCTCGTCTCGTATCTGGCGCCCGGCTCACGGTCCTAATTGCACGCACGATTTTACAGTTCAATTGATCCTTGCGCGGCGATTATTCGCGATAAAGTTCCCCTTTTATGCTAGTAGAGCGTGCTTAATCTTTGGATATGAAAAACTCGGAGCGTGATGTTCGTAGCACGCGGAGACGAAATAGAAGCTTGCTAAATAACGAGTGGTCGAGTAGATTATGGAACGCGTACGTGCACAAAGAACGTACAAAATGGAAACCGGTTCGCGTAAACGGTTTGAAATTCAACCCAGCCGTAGAAAGGAGCATCGATTCAAGCGGCGAGCAGTTCGCCCGCGCGGACCATTATTCTTCCGCATCAAAGCCATCGCGATATTAGCTCGCGAGAATATTAGCCGAGCGTTGGGTACGCTACTTATCAAGCCGATTTACGGGTCGGCGTAACTAACTCGCCTCCGTGAATCGTTATTCTCGTTTCCTTTTCACCTATCGGCGAGGATTTCTCGGCCGGCCGGCTTACAATGTTGATGATTAGGAGGACTACGCCGACTTCTGGCGCAGCTCGCACGACATTCGTAACACGCAGCCCCATAACGCTCGATATTAGTGTCGCCGGTCACGCGAGAAGTCGGTTATTATCGGAATTACGCGTTAAAGTATTCGGGCGTGCTCCACTCTGCCGGGTCGTGTGTAATCGAAGCATGGAACTCGGAAGTTGTTAAGACGGAAAAGCCTTTCCTCTTCTCTTCGAACAGAGTTACCTCTGTTCGTAGTTTCTCGTCGACAAGTATCGCGAGTATGGGGAGCCTCGTTGCTGACAAGAGTTTCACCGCGTTCGCGTAAGGCATCTTTGCTCGCAATTCAAGCTACCCTTCAGCCCTATCGGCCACCGATCTCGAGATCTCCGTTGGCGTTCTTAATTTCGTTCCACAAACGTCAAACGGAACTCCGTTCGCAGAGTTCCGTTCTTCGCTATCCACCGAGACGAGCACCGATCGAACCGATCGACCTCTCTCGATCGCTCGAGGCCGCGTATCTAGGCTATTAGAGCACGCGATCCTGCGTTTCCTGGCTTAACGCTAAACGATGATTTTTATCGCTCGTTAGGAGGACGGATTCTGTCGTAATAAAACTCTTATTCCGATCGCGATGAAAAAACGAGCATTGTAGCCTATCGGCCAAGACGAAGTGCTTCGGAGGTTCGCGAAACGAAGTGAAACGATGTTGCGAGATTATTCCACGTCTCTCTCGAGGATCTTATATTCGATCAATTACCCCTAACGACACGATCGGTCGTACGAGTCGGTTTGAAGGGGGAAAAAAAAGGACAATCGAATAGTTGGAAACGATCGAAGAACGTGGCTCGAATCGATCAAAGATCGACGCGAATGGCTTTTGTTTCTCGTCGAGTTAGAGCGTCGGGTGCGTCAGCGGCGCGAAATGATCGGTCGATTGAACGTGCCGGCTACCGGTTTCGATTCACGAATCGTTCCAGCCACGGAAACGCGCCGCTGGCGTGGCCACCTTGTGCCTCGAGCCCAGCATCCACGCCTGTTAGACTTAATTGACGATTTTACCTTAACGTCGGCCGGTTTGTACCAGCCTCTTATAAGATACTTCTCCTCGACTCCCGCTTTCGTCTCTTTCTCGTGACACGTATACACCTGGGGGGCCAATTAAAATTTTTACCCCGGTATAAGCGACCGTTTACGTCTACCGGGGGAACGATGAGTTTTCCTCTCGATAAACGATTCGCGTGGACCCGCGTACCCCGACGCAACGTTCCTCCGAAATCCAAAGGTTTCCTCGGCTCGAAAGAAACGGTAGCAGCGAAGCGCGGTACTCGAGGTTTCAGCGGACGAAATTACGAGCGGCGCGTAATGAGAAACTCGCACCGTTTCCAAGAAAGAAATCTCCAAGACCATTACGGGAGCGTTTACGGCGCGTAGAAAAGTCGAGGAAGGAGCGAACGGCTGGGTAGAAACTTCTCTCCCGTGTTTCCAGCGAGTCCGTTGCTGGATGAAGAGGTGAAAGGGGTGGAGCACGGGGAGGCTTCGTACACGAACTCGTGCATGATAGAGTCATACATAACTCCGAGCATCCATAATGCATTCAAGCCGGGGTAAAAACTGCCCTTGTTAGGTACGCCCTGGCACACCCAGCTTCCTGACCAACGTCATCCACTCAGCGTTTTTGCGGATGATAACGACAAACCGCTCGCCTCTGTCTCCTCTGTCGTTACTCCTCTCTAGCGGTGATACGTTCTGCTTTTCTTCCCTTGGTACCACTGCTCCCCATCCTACTGTTTTTCGTTCCCGGAGCGCGAGACCAATTACCCGCGTCTCTCGACTAGGGTTGAAACCTCGTCCGTTATGAATTTTATTCCCGCTGGTTAACGCAATCGTCCCCGAAGCACGTTTCTTCGCTGTTTCCCTGGATGGACGCTGATTAGACAGCCTTCGAGTCGACCAACTTTTTCCACAGGTATGTACATCGCGTTTGCGGCTGTAATAACCACGTTGATTTTGGTGTTCCTTCGTCAACGTTAACCTTTCCACGGTTTACCAACGAAATATGGCAATTAACGCAATCCATCCATCAACGCGTTGAAACTCTATCGCGCGAGTAATCGGACTTTACGGTATTCCGAGGAACGTGACACCTATTATCCGTAGCCAGGTATGCGTAAGATAAAATATTTGCAAAGTTAAATACCGCCGTTGGCGATACTCGAGCCAAGTTTCCATTGCGGCAGGAGCACGCTTTATCGTTAATACCGGTTGCAGGTAATTTCGAGAGATCCTGAATCGAAAAATTTAGCGTACCTTCCCCGAAGTTGCGCGACGGCGATCATCGGTAAAAAATTAGACAGTGAAAACCTCATTAGTCGTGGGGGTAGCGTTTATCGGGGAGGTGAGGGGATACGATACGAGGCTCGTCCAGCCGATAGATAATCCGGAGGCCCGCTGCCAGGCGGTGGCTTTCGAAAATTATGAATACGGAGGTCATTTATAACGCTCGAGCGCCACCGTCGGCCGGCACGCATTTATCTGTCGGCCTCCGCGACCAGCAATGAATTAACGACGCCCGTCCCGCGTCCAATGACGTTCCACAAAATATTTGGAACGATTCATCATTCTCGGCCAACGTAATTATCGTCCATGGGGTGTTCCACCGGCGAACCGTCCGTCGTTCGCGGTTGGACACAGTTTTTCCGGAAGGTCCAGCGAGACAATTCACCCCCTCGACGCGTTAATTGCCGTGAAACGAGTTTCTCCTTCTTGTTTATCGACGATCAACGCCGACGATTCCGACGAAACTGAGCTTCTCCAAGGGTTGTCATCGTGTACTCGTTTCAATTACGCTTATGGGATTATATTATGGGATAAATACCATCGGTACAGCTGCGAATCTCGCAGAAGCGAGATGAACGTTATTGGGACGTCGCGTCATGGATGATAATGTAGCATTGCAGGGATTCCGGGGAAAATGATGGATGGTAGAAAATTGCAACGCTCCTGGAAAGGTTTCTAACGCGAATTGGTTTACGGGAAGCTTTAAAAATATCGTTACCCGATGAAGTTTATACCGAAGGAAGTCGACAGAAGTTGTGCTTCTTCTACATGGACTCGAGCGATCTGCGTTCGACTCGATTTTTCCTGTTAATTATCCGACACGTTAGTCTCACCTCCACGCAATTATTAACGAGTTAATTAGACGCGTTTCTAAAACACGTTGAAGTATGCGTTTCCTCCGTGAGGATGCTCAAGTTCTCGGCGAAACGACGCCGGAATATTCGACAAAGAGGCCGAACAATGCGATCGCGCGCCTAATACGGTCGACCTCGTTAGCCAGGCGCAACAATAATCGTGCGTCTACGAGCGTATGGTAATTAACAGAAATTAATTAGCAACTGAGAGGTACGTATCGATCGTCGGAGTCGGTGATACGTGGAGACGCGTTCATTGTGGGGTCTGTATATTTTCTCTTTCGGGCCTCAAGATGTGTTTCTCCTAGCGAGAGGTGACGAAGTACGAACGTCTTTATACGGACGCGAATAAATACCGAAATCTGACTTTTAACGCTCGTTCACGCGTTAAAATATTTTAATGCGTTACCGTTCGCTTACATTTACAAAATATCGCCGACAGACGCGTAAATTCGTTAAAAGATGGACGAAGGGAAATCACGAAGGAAAGGATCGTCGTATAGTATGCCCGAGGACGACAAGTATAAATTATAATCAGCTGTAATTGAGTGTAGAAAGTGCGGAAATTTGAAATTACCCGAGTAACGAGGTATGACTTAATAAACGCATGAACATTTTAATGAAGCCGTTCGACGTCCATCCCCGTCGTAAACCAGAGGCGCAAACCACAGGATATCTTTGCCCGTCGTCATCGATCGAGCCAGTCAATCAACGACGGCGCTAGAATATCGCGAGGAACGTACATATATATATATATATATATATATATATATATATATAGTACATACGCGTGTATACGTATCAATCGTAAATCATGCGAACATTTAATTAGCAGGAATTAATTGGCGTTCATAAGAAACATATTGAACCGGGGCTGGTCATTAGTAAGATACGCGACTGGCCGCGATACGCGAATTGTCAGCGCGATAGCGCGAGAGCAAAAGACGAAACCCGTTTCATCAGCGACTATTTTACTCGGCGAGGAATTTATTACCCCCACGGAGCAACTTCATTGGGAATTCATTACGCTTTTCCCCGGTTCGATACACTTGGTATCTCACGGCTCTCGCCGATACAAATGAATTACGACAAATAAGCAATTAATAATGAAAATTTCTATACGACCTCGCAATAGCAATTATCAGCGGGACTAAGAAAAAAGAACGAAAAAGCACGCGAGATTTCGCGAAACGTTATCGGTCCTCGTCGAAATATTTCTACGGAACGGTTCCCATTCCAACGTTAATTAACGATCCGGCCGTCTCGATTTTACGGATACGTGATTTTGCTCGATCTTACAGCGGCCGCGACTAATTGCTTTCTCCTATCGTTCACTGTCCGGATTACCGTGAAAACTCCAGCGATTCCAGTTCCCCGCCTTATCGGTGGCGCGCTTTACTTCTCTCCGAATTTTATAATATATTCCGGATGTTACGCGCTACCTGATACCGAACCTGGTAACGAGCTTTTCATCCGGTATCGATTTCCAAAACCTAGATGTTCGCACCTCTTTAAACATCTACCTACCATCTACGGCAAGAGATCTCCAACGTGTTTAACTGTATACCAAAATTTCACTGCCACGTCTACTGCTGTTATTCGTTGCAAGAACGCGATCGAGACTACTCAAACCGCGCCGTACTCCATATCCAGACACCGCAAACGTACCGAGCACCCACAGGTTCAGACTTCCGTGTATCCCCGTTGGTTCGCCTCGAACAATGCTTCGATCGAACGAATACGAAAGAGAGCAAAAGTTCCGGCGGATTCGAGACAGCGGCCGACCGCAGGTGCTTTGTCCACGCGCTACGCGGAAAGTCACGGGGCGCAAGATATATTTCCTCGGGGATCCCACCGAGCGTTTAATTAGCAGAAATTAATTAGCGTCTAAGAGGAACATATTGATCGGTTATGTGAGCGGACTAGCCGACTAGCCGGCTCGATGCCAGCGAAACGGGGAACGCCGATCAGAATGGAAGACGTAATACCGATGTCGCGACAGATCCGCTCGACAATGCCGCCGGCCCGTTCCCTTTTTTTGTCCTACGGCCGATCGTTAATTAGCGCGTGGAATTCGCCGTTGCCCCGCGGTTGCCGCGAAATCGTCATCCTTTCGACTCTCCCGGCACCGGCGTGCTTTTTGCACCGGCCAGTCGAAGCGAAATCCTCTTCGAGTACTCTACCGATTCTTCCTTAATACACCGATCGACGATTAACCATCCTCGACCGATCGATCATCCCCTTTTTTCCCTCGAGCAGCCATCCCGTCGACCACGATACACCGAATTTTCGTCCCTTTTCTTTTCGCCGCAATTCCAATTACTCCGAAACGCGACGCCAAAACTGACGTCGTAAAAATTAATCGACGGACACTAACGGAAATTCCAAAATACTCATTGCCGCGCTAAGGAGGGAAACAGTTTGAAAAGCATATCGAGTTAGGATAAACGTAAAGCCACCCGATGCAATCGCGGTGACTCGCCGTTCAACCGCAGAGTGTGTACAATTGTTCTGTTTATTGCAAGCGCAAACATTCAAACACGCAAAGTAGCGTTTTCTATGCAACGATCTTGTCACTTGGAGAAAATTTATTCCGAACTTCTACTTCGTTCGGAAGGTCGAGGTTAGCTTTTACCCTTTGGAACCGATCCGCGTACAGAAAATATGTACAACGAGAAGATAAACGGGAGTCTACGAATCACTTTTAAAATATGATCGAACAAAAACGGCGTATTCGCGTGGATCGGCCTGACGTAAATGTCTGATTTCGAGTCGAAGCCTGTTTGTCGCGACGTGGTCGCAGTTGTTGGAAAAAAAAGGAACATCTCCGGTCGGAGAAGAGAAAACTCGGCTAATTGCGCGCGTACGAGTCAATCACCGAGCATCGACACGACGATAATTATCGTTGCGAATGAAACGGACGCGTAACCAGGGACAATTTATTTTTTACGAATCAATTTCACCGCTTGTTGCCGACCAATTGGAAACCGTTCGTTCGCAAACGGTCGCTGTCGATACACGAACGGACTGTATAAATTGGGGATCAACGACGCTGATTGCTTGAGAAACGCGCGCGCGCGCGCGCGCCCTCGATCGACGACCGAGTAATTTATGTAGACACCGACGCGGAGCCTGATCGTTAACGCGAAACAAGACTGAATTTTCGCGTGTGATCGCGTTTTTCGACGAGTAATCGAGTTTCTTGCGCGCCATGAAAGTAATCGTTGTCCCGCAGGTGGCTCGTACCGTTTACGAACGAATTTGTTTGAAAATCGCGTCGACGGCCTATAATTGTCTCCACTTTGAATTACAAATTTTTAGAACTATCGTTTTCGAATCGTTCATCCAAAGGTAAAAGAGTTTCGAAACGGAGGAACGTAGGCATCGAACGGTACGCGAGGCAACAGTAATTATCGTGATCAGTGGAAGATGGCGAAGGGAAAGTCTGTCGAAAATTCCTAGAGAGAAGAGCGCGTTTTCGATCGATCCGTTCGTCCCGCATTAATTAATGCTCGCTGGTGGACGTTATCGCGGGCTCGCAGATAATCATTATGCAATGCGTGCACGGAAATAACGAGCCGATAATTTTGCACCATTCGAACAAATCTGCGCAAACATGATTAATATTACAAAGCTCGTAGCGTTATCGGATATTCTGAGGATGGTTCATTTGTATCGGTGCTTGTGACGTAATTAACGATTACAAATCCAAAAGAAACGAGCCAATTATCGATTCGATTTGACACCTATATCGAAATAAATCTGCGAATACTTTTATCGGGCCCAGACGCGATACGCGACAAAAAAGAAAACCCTCCCCTCTCTCTCCTTCTCTCAAACTGTGGCGACGTCGATGATTTATCAATCGACGATAGTTGGGCAATTATCGCGCGAGTTATAGCAGCGCGGAGAAAATATTCTTCGGGTTGACGGGCGATATCTTAATTCACCTTCGCAACGTAATCGACCGTATTAATTATTCCAGTTGTACATTGCTTAATCGTGTACCGCCAACTTTTTGGCCGATCGAGAACATATTCCCTCGCGCGACGCGGTCGAACGATACGAATGATTACGTTGTTACTGTCAAACGCACTCCATGGAATTGACGGCAGCGCGTTGGTAGCGAATACTTGTGTCTTAACGTGCCGTATTTTATTTCGTCGTCTCGACAATTAGCCAAACATTCTCTTTCCTTTTCAGCGCGGAAACGTTAGCGTAGCCTGTCTTAGCTCCGAATTCTCGTTACATCGAATTCATCTCGATCGATTCGTCATCTTTCGAAGGCCGGCTCGACTTGATCCAACTTGCCACGAGACTTTCTAACCCGTTAGACTCTTTTACCTCCGACGATCCATCTACTTGGTGGTTTGCGTCTGATCCATAGATTTTTGAATTGATTTCAGGCGATTTGAGGCTACCGGGTCCAGGACCAGGACCGGTCAGGTGCACCCTGAGGAAGCACAAGCCGAATCGCAAGCCGAGGACACCGTTCACCACGCAACAGCTGCTCTCCCTCGAGAAAAAGTTTCGCGAAAAGCAGTACCTGACCATCGCCGAAAGAGCGGAGTTTTCGTCCTCCCTTCACCTCACGGAAACGCAGGTGAGACTCGCCACGAGCGGCCATTAAGCTCCGAACCAATTACGGATAACGATCAACCGCCAAAGAATCGTTTCTTTCGCGTCTCCCATACACCTAGGTATTCGGTCAAGACCCACCGTAGGTTACACCTACGATTCAATCATTTTTGCAATCGAGCCCTCCTCTTTCATTTCGTTGCAATTGCTCGTCGAGACGCAGCCGAAACGAGCAAATTCCCGTCTGCCTTTCGCATCGTAATTAGACACCCTTCCACGAAGCGGTTCGCAATTAACATGATTGACGTTAATTAAATTGAACCATACGAAACGGTATTATACTTAATTTTTGTATCAGTCGAAATGATCTGCGCTCATTTGGCGTGGCGTTCTGCCAATGCCGCCACAAGAAGTTCCCAAACACCGCCTTCGCGTCCACGTAACGAATGTTTGCCCAAGTGCACGATTGTATCTATATATGTTTAAATAAAATTAATACAGTTTTACGAAAAAGTAGACTAAATAAGGTATCGCGACAAATGAAATTCGTTCGAAAGATCTCGCCTATACGACGTCTGACTCGTAAAGGGAAGACAGACTGTCGCGCCGGAGTCGGTTGTCTGATTACAAGCGGCTGGATCTACTTCTAGGTTGTACGGAAAGTAAAGTTACTACTGCTGCGCCGGCGACGGTGTATCGCCAATTTAACTTGTAATTCAAACAGGAAATGCTCTTCGACACCTTTTATCGAATGAAAAATTCATTCTGAACGTTGCTGGACATACGTTGTCTCGTGACACGTGTAATAGCCAAAATGACCGTCGCGATGCGGCTATTATCGTGCAGTTAGCGTGTTCAGATACACTTTGCGCATTCATTACAATGCATCAGACGAAATGAAGCTTCGTCGTATTCATTTGCTTAGATAAGCTACCATCGTCCCGCCATCTCCTCGCCTCGTGTCCTCGTCGCCTGTCCGAAACACCCTGGCCCGCCACTCCGAGCTCTCCTCCTTTCATTATTCACTCGCGACGAAGAGGTATGTTCGCGATTTAGGCTACGATATTCGCGCAGTTAGAATGCAATAGGGGTCGTTCGTGGAAATACGCTCTAGTCGATAGTCGAAGATTACACGTCGGCAACGGTTCTCAATCATTTCTTTGTGTACCGTTAATCCCATAACGATTTATGCAATTAACATAGGTTGTGGAACGTCTCGTCCATATCTTTCTCTTAACGCATTTAAATTACCATTATACAAACAAAGATGATTTTGGAATGCGTTACGTTTCTATTCGCGTGCCTGGAAAATTGTACGCGAGCTTCGTACCGCGTTTGTTTGCAACCGTGAAAAACAGGAAGCAGTTGCTGTCGAGAAAAACCACGTAAAATATTACGTTATGTATTTCCTTCGAGAGAACCAGTAACACTTTGATTGCACATTGTCACGCGACGCGAGATTTCTACTTTCTAAGCGACGAGTATCCTCCGATCGCATTACGTACCTACGTGTCCGACATCGTGTCTGATTTATTAAGAAGTTGGCGATTTATATCGTTTTTTGCGATCTGCTTTTTTATTTACCCTCACTCCCGCTACATTATGCCGATTTTAGCGATCAGATTACGGCTCCTTGAACTCGTTACGCGTGCTAAAGGGTGCTTAATGCTAATTCCTCGGAGAGCTGCGTAGCCAGCGGGCATAATAATACCAGCGAGGATAACAACGATATCGTCTTCGGTAAACGCGTATGTCTGTCGATTATATTTCCATAGTCGATTAACGCACCGGGTGAATTTCAAAGGCACGATCGAATCGAGAACTAATTTTCCTATTAAAAGGAAAATATCACCGATTTAAGTTAAGAAAAACAATAAGGAGAAACATAGAGCGGTACGAACGCTGAACGTATCGGGGAATCCAGACCTTACACATGGAGAACATTTGGAAAACATATTACCGTATTTCGTATCAAATTTCTACTATTGCTTTCAGCGTTTGATATTAATACGAACAATTATCTCGGAATCGTGTGGTAACGAGGCTAAAAAAAGTCATTGCGAATGCAACTGTTGCAATTAGTTGCGGTACCAACGCAGCTAAGAGGCGCCAATTAATTCGCTGATTCTCAAACTCGTTAATCGTTCACCGCTCCCGTGTGAACGAGAAATTTTCCGGCAAACGATTTTCAAAAGGGAAATCGTTGCGACGACGAAAGGATCGCGTGCACTCTTCCTCGACTCGGCGATACGTTCGCGCGCGTGTCGTAATTCGGTGGTCGATTCGCGGGTCCCATCTGTCCAAACAGAAAATCGGCCGCCGACTGTGCAAACGCAATTAGTAGGCGAGAGTGTTTACTCTTGGCGGGGCAAACGTTTGAGACGCGTACATATTTTTCTATGCAGTCACTATTGGCAACGAATTCCAGCAGCCACGTTGGATCGCTGCTTTCACCAATTTGAGGCGGCTAATTACGCGCTAAATAGCCGTTCGTGTCCCACCGTGATCGGCTATTTTCTCTGCTCGCTGTTTGCCGATCGCGCGTCCCTCGTTAGATCGTTTACGTACGGCTGATCGATAGCGTAATTATTTAATTACGCTCAGCCTTATTCAACCTCCATGCCCGCCTCCGCTGATCGCTGCCGATTTTCTGCTTCGATACGAGTACCGAGACGATATCGAGCGAGAAGGAATGCATAGAATTACGTACGTAACAACGAGTAATGTTCGAGATACTAATAAATTCTATCACGATCAGGGACGGAACAATGGCGTCTAGTAGTCATCCTCTGACCGATGTTCCATTTGCCGTGTTTCAGGTGAAAATCTGGTTCCAGAACAGGAGAGCGAAAGCGAAGCGACTGCAAGAAGCGGAAATCGAGAAGCTCAGGCTATCCGCGAGGCCGTTGTTGCACCCGAGTTTTGGCTCGGGCCTGATGTTCTCCGGAGTGGGGCCCCCTGGAACACCAGGAGTGCCTCCCTTCATCGCGGCGGCCATGGCTAGGCACACCGCGGCAGCCATGTTCATGGGGCCCCCTGGACACAGACCTTAATAAGGCAGACTCGAGCTGCGCGAGCTCGAGTCGCTCGCATTCTGGCTAGTCTGTCTCCTCGGGACGGAGAAACGCGTCGAGCGATCCGTCTATCGAATTCGGGCTGGTGACCCACGATGATGGTCTTCTCTGGGAACGGTAAACCGAAGACGACTTCTCGGAAGCGACGATGGAATACCGTCTGGCGCGGCTGCAGGCTCGAGGTGAGAGGATTCTGGAGTGGTCGGGTGGACGGCGATGGCTTCGAGGGTTTCGAGAGGGACCGAAGGGACACGAGGATTCTTGCAATTAACCAGAATCGTCGGGACCGTGTCGAACTCGTGTTATCGCGAACGAAAGCTCGATCGAGTTCGTTCGAATACTGACGAGACGAACATGCGACGACGAAAGTGAAAGAGAGTTCAACGACGAGTCCGTGTACGGACAAGAGGATGGAAAGTACGACGAAGGGAGTACCCGAGTTCCTAGAAGCTGGAGCACGAAGATCGAGAGATCCGTTGGATTTGCGTATAACAGCGAATGGGATTTCGAACTCGCGTGACAACGAGAAATATAGAAGAGAGGACGGGAATGTGTATTTTTTAAGGCAACGATCTAGATACGAAACGAAATTAGAACGCCAAAGCATCGAAACCATCGTCGTCGGAATTCTAAACTGATCGGCATTTCCCATTCCGCCTCGTCGTCGAAATCTGACACAGTGCGATAGGCGAGTAAATCATCTTTATTCGTTGTAAAAAAAAAAAAAAAAAAAAAACTTAACGACGAGAAGTTGACTGTGCCGCGCGTGTATGCGAAACGATAAATCGACGATGACTTTTACCGTCGCAATCTTTCGTCGGTCGCGGGGTCTTCCAAAAAAGGAGGCAATTTCGCGTCTCTTCGGTTCCCCACGTTTCGGATCGAAGTCGAAGCACTCGCGAATAACGACGGCTTCGCGGACCTCGGCTGGCCTGAATGGTCGCGCGACAAAGGGCGACGGCATTTAGAAGGCATTTCAAGGCACTGATCTCAAGAGAAAACCGCGAAGCCGATGTACATGTTGTAAATAGACGTCTGACAGCGGGTAGATCGTAAGTGTACGTATGTATATACGCGTGTACAGGACGTTCGATTTCCGAGCAAGAAGCAGCAAATATCTAATCCGCAACGATGGACGAAAACGAGAAAACAAAAAGATAGGATCGAGGCAACGCGATGTTTCGATCGAACCTGCTCTTTTGGCTCGTTTATCTTTGGGAAAATTGATCGATCAGACACACGAGGTGGGACAAATTGACGTAAATAATCGCGAAACATGCCATATCGTCTCGTTAACTTTCTGGTCGCGCATATAAATGAGTGATCGTCTTGAACGATAACATCGTTGCTGGGAAACGAATTTCGCGTGTTTTCGGCAAACTCCGGGGAAAGACGAGATAGCATCGGTTGCTTCTATTTTAATTTGTATATAAGCGCGAGTGTCCTGGATGAAGAGCGATGTAAATTCAGTAGCTACATGTGGCCACGATCGATCGAGGGAAACGGTGGTCCGCAACCACTGAAACTAACGTTGCAAACGCGTCGAGATCCCGAATGTACCTAAGCGCCCTGTATAAATGTAACATGATATAATTTATCCATGGAAGTATACCATAGCGAAATAAAAGTGATTTCAGTATTTACACCCTAACTTGTACAAATTATTGCGTCCAGTGTGGAACGAGAAGGTTCGTTTACGATCAGTCCTACGTAACGAAAACGAGGTGGAACGAAAGGTAAGTCCCGAGTCATCGAACCCGGATTAGTTGATGGACAATAATAGTCGGTCCAAGGATCGAGGGAGAGAAAAAGACTAGGAGTTTCGTTGAACGCAAGAAAACGTATCGCAAAGTCATCGACGGGGAGAGGTGCCGCGGCGGCCCCTCGTACATGGCAAGTAGTCGAGGCAACGGTATAGGGCGGCCGAAAGTGTTCGACGGATAATTAGAAATATGTTAATCCGGCGTAGCCGCTAATTGGTTTTTGACTAAATTTTTAATTAAGTCTTAAGCCCGAGCGGCGCGCTGATTTATCGAACGCGGGACCCCGACTAATTATAAAATATACACGTACAGGACCCCCACGCACACGGAACACCGGCGTGTACCTACGCAAACTCGGGGCCAGTGTGCGCACCTGTCTCGAATAATCTGTCCATAAGCGTCGCCGTTGATGTTCTCGGCTGAAAAAGGATCGCGTCGCTTTAGTCGCGAATGGCCATTTCGTCGATTCGCGCGTTTGCCATACGGGCTTACAAATTCACGCGAACAAATTTCTAAACGGGACCAAGGTCCAGCTAAGGATGATCTTAACGTAGCGGAATTAGGTCTCGTACATCTTTAGGACAATCGGGACCTGGATATTTACACGAATTCGACGCCAATGAATGAATTCACGTACACATGCGCGGGTCCACCTTCCCTATCCGCAAGAACGGGGTAGCCAGAGAAGTCAGCCACCTTTTCGGGCTAAAACGAGAAGGTCGGGGATCCGTTCCACTGGCACGTCCGATCAAAGGACTTTGCCGCCTTCTTTGAATCCCTCGCTCGCTCGTAAATGTCGTCCTTTCGGTTGAGACCAGTAGCCTAATTGTTCGTACCGGTGCCACTGATATATGGGTTATTAGAACGGGCCAAATCGCCGGAAGTTGTCGCCGTTTTACGAGCGGTCAAGAAACGAACCCTTCTCGCTCGATGTTTGCCAGTCACCGACGTATTTTCGTTTCTTGCCTAAGTTGGCTCGCGGGACGTCGATATCCTCGCATCTTCGTACGCAAAAAAACTGGGTAAACCGATCGGCAATTTAAAGGACACCCACGATCGAGCTCAAAGTTGCTCGATAGCGTGACTATGGGCCGCAAACTATGCTCGAGTCCTCGTCGAAGCGGATGTTGGTCCGGTGAACCGACTTTCCACTCTTAATACGGAACTCGGTCTCGTTGGAAGCGCACCTACGCTCGCATCATAGAAAATCCCGATGAAATAGAGACGAAAGAAAGAAGGGAACGAGTAGATGCGCAAAGAGAACCTTCGGAGGGACGATTTACCGTTAAAGGGTTTACGAACAGGCGCCAGGTATTTGCTAGCTCCGTGGATCGGAAGCTCTCTCGACTCTCTTTATTTCTCTCGCACTCTTTCCGCGGCAGTCTGCGTTTCTCTGGATCCCTCTACGCCGAGACTCTTACACGCGCTCAGTCGGCGCTCCCATATAGATGAAATTTATGTACGAGGCCGACCGATCCTACGCATGCGGCCACATTGAACGCTGACAATTAATTAAAGAATAATTTCTTGTCTTCGCGATACCCGGAGGAGCGTCGCCAGTTGGCGGCCAATTATGCCTCCGGACGAGAACGGAATACCAAGCAGGCCTGTCGACGACCATCGAGCTCCTTTCGATGTCTGCTTCGTGCTACTGCTCCTCACCGTCTCTTCTCCGGCCCGGCCGCGGCCGTCTCCCCGTTTTCTTCTCTCCCCGCCGCGTCGCGCCGTGCCGCAACGTGTGCTCCGGTACAATGAGAAACGCGGACCGCCGCTGATTTTCTGGAGAGCGGAACGAGTTCCAGGAGTCGATGCCGGTTCGCACCGAGAAACAACAGACCGATTTCACGCGCCATCGACGATTTCAGCGGCTCGCAACTCCTGGCAGAAACAGACGCTGACGTCGCGCGCAACCTATCCTTTATACCGACGAGTATACTACCAGAGATTAAATTAACAACGGGAATAGTTTATCGAACGTATCGAACGTTAATTCGAGTCTTCTCTGGGATTAAACTACGATTACGCAGGTCACGATTAATTATGTCGGTTACTCGATCAGTTTCTCCGGTGCGGACACGGCGTCGTTCATCCCGTTCGACGATCCTCCGCGTCTCATCCCAATTACCGAGAAAACAAACGCGGTCGCTGCGAGAGGTTTCGCTTCCTTAAACGACAATCCGTATCGAGCGCTGACGATCGAGTCGTCTCGATCGGAAATTACAATCGTGTCATCGAAACCATCATCCCGTTGAACTCGAATCGCCGGTTTTCACAGCGATTCGTCGGGTCGTCGCGCCTGAAAAGGTTCGGGTCGAGTCGTCGGTGTCGACTCGTCGCCGTGTGCTCGACTCGTCGCTGGACCGGAAGGCGGAGAGGAAGGGAGGGAGGGAAAAAATTCACGGTTAACGCGTGCATCGAAAGCAGGCCTCCCCTCATTCAGTTTATCCAAATTAATTGGTCGTAAATTAAGCGGCCGGTCTGACGAGCGCGGCGAAACGAAGCGCGAGGGGAGTCGAGTATCTCGGGGCCCGGAGAGAAGGTCTCGTGGAAAGAACAGGGATAAGGCTATTCGTCGATGGAGTCGCGCGACGAAGAGGACCGAGGAGAAAGGCTGGTCGGAAGAAGACGTAGATACGACAAAGAGGGCCCAGAAAGAGGGAGTTACCTGAGCGCGAGGGGAAAAAGAGAATTAAAAAGGTAATGCTAGCCGGGGGACAGTAGCGCATCGACACGCCATTATGTGGCGGCTGGGACTAATTTATACAAGAGAAAGACGAGGATGCCGCGGAAAGTCAATCGTGGCAGTGGCCGAGGGAACAGAGACGGAGCCAGGTAGGTGCCACTTGCCGGAGCAAGAAAAAGACAGGGAGAAAAGATCGCGGGCATTACTTAAAAGAGGGTTCCTAATTGGGAGCCAGCCACTGTTTCGACGGGTGTACCGATGCTCGGATTCGTGTCCTCCAGAAGGGAATTAAGGAGGAAGAAAAAGGGACCATGAATTCGGGGAAGGAAAGCTTCCTTTCTGCCGGCCCTCTAGCCGATACTTTGATCGGAATACCAACATCCGAAGATGTTCACCATTCGATGCGATCTTCGACTCGGCCGCGATCGACTCCGAAACTTTTTCGATCGGTACCTTTCCGCTCATCGGGAAATCATTTTAGGTCAAAGAAGAGACCTCTTCGTTCGAATCCAGAGAATTCTTACGAGTTAGACTAAGCCAGCCACCTTTTCCGCCACCTCTTTGGAAGAAAATTATAAACGTCTAATCGAATATACCGAGAGGATATCTCTTCCTCGCTTAAGATCCTTCGGCACGTACGAGCACGCACTGCTACCGGTCGAGGAGATGTAAAAAGAAAAAAAGGAACGATCCCCCCGCGTCAAGTTCGACTTTCGAGGGAAGCGCGCGCAAGTAAAGTAATCGTTTCTTCCGAAGCTTACACGCGTTTCCCATAAATCGAGCGCATCGGTAGGCAGGTACGCGGATCATGTGCCGTTGCCGGTAATTGCCGGCAAGATGAATCGAGACGAAATCCCGTTTCCGACTTCGTAGGAAATTTACGAAGCCGGACCGAGAACGGCTGCCCAGTCGCGGCGTTTACGGCGAGAAAGTTCTCCGGCAAGAAAGTCGCGGCCAATGCAAACGCCACGACGCGACGAGGCAGACGCTTCAAAAAGCGCGCGCCCGCGCCGCGCCGTTACGTGCTCCTAATTAGGTGCAACGCGATGACTGTTCTTACGCGTTCGAAAACCATACAACCAAATCGGTCGCGTATCCCACGGCGTAAACGACACCTTGTAAAAATCTATTCGACCACTTGTTTCGACGGGCGTATGTCATCGAGTCCGATTGAATATTCAATTTTGAGAGTTCTTCTTTGTATGTTCGAAACTGACGCGGCAAAGGAGCTCGCCGGAAGAAGACTATCGAGAATCTTGAATTTTCAAGCAGCGAAGATAAAATATCCCCGACTAGGCGTTCGAGTTAAGCGTTCGTAATTTCGAGAACGAGGCTCGTAGGCCTTGAGAAACATCAAGAATCGAGATCACCGGAACGATAAGACGTTTGTTTTATTTTATCGTCGCCAACATCGAGAGACGAAGACGAATATCGTTCGTATCGATACGAGGCCTAAGGCGCTACGGAATGTCGAGAATCTTTCCGAAATTTCTCCATTCGCTTGTACGGTGAATTCCACGCGGCCAGCTCCAGCGAACGGTCTTCCATAATAAAATTTTTTATTGCGCTGCAGACGGGATCGCGTTAAAATCGAAGATGTCTCCGAACTTGTAACCGATCAAATTTATTCACGACGGGTATCCGTTGTCGAACTCTAATATAGCGGGCATAAAATTAAAAAATTATCTCCGTGTAACGCGATAGGGGTTAGCTCGTCGACCGGATTACAACTTTCTAATTACCTGTAAAACGGCCCCTAAAAAGTTTTAAATTTCGGATCGACGGTGCCGCGTCGGCCGAAGGAGAAGCGCATAACTTTTATACCTCCGCTCGACCGACAATTTGTCACCATACGATTATCCTTTGCCGGTTCTTGTTTCTCGACGAATCACCGGCATCGCCATCGACGCGCTATCATCTCACGCGATAGATTTCGATTATCCCGTTTCCGCGTAAACGGTCCGAGTAAACGTAAATGCCTCGCGCGAAAAGAAAAATTGCTAAGCTTTCGCGATAAGATTTCGATTCGAACGGAACCGTTTCCCAACCTTCCTTTCCACCCTTCCGACGATTCGACCGCGAAACTCGTTTCCACGTTTAAAGAAATTACTTCGGAGAATTCGAGGGAGCCTCGGGATCCACTGTCGCAAACGACGGGACTTATCGCGGTGGGTTGATAGCGCGGACAACCGAAAAAGACGAGTCGCGTAACAAATTCGCCGATTAAG